ATACCTATAGTCCGCAATAGTAAAAAAAATCAAGTAGATAAGATTCTATTACGTTAACATTATCAGATTTGACCTGCAGTGCTTTGATATAACAGCCAGATTGGTTTCAGCGTGTTATAAGTATGCAACTAAATATTCATATTTAAATCGAAAATATGTAAACCATGTTTAAGTTTATATAAATTGAGTACAAATATGAGAAATTATTTAAATGCCAAAAAAATATATATTCTTATTATTAAATGATTGGACGTAATAAAATGGAGTATATATTTGTTCCACTGCGCAAATAATTTTTTTCACAGATAATTTAACTTCACGGTGTATTAATAAGTTTATTTGGTTCCATGTTGATAATAATAAAAAATACACATTTGAATAAATATAAACAATTAGAACGTAATTATTACACGGAAAGGTTTATAATGTATACAAGGGATACCTACCTTGAAATAGGTTTTGAGGGCTCTTCTATATAATCGCCAACGTCATATCCGGGATATTGAATATACAATTATGTAGAATTAACTACGAACATATAACCTTCTATTGCAAAGTAAATTAAAGCTTAAAAAATGCTAAAAAATCCACTTTGGCCCTGGCACTCTGAGATGGGATTCGAACCCATGACCTTTCGCAATCCGGGCGACTGCTCTAATCACCAAGCTACCCAGGACCTAATTGAAGAATTTTTCAAGCACTTGTTCCATTTTCGCTACTACAGAGCGTATTTTCATCAATGTTCAGGCAATCCACCCAAACAGCCGAAAGAAATATTTTTACAAATATTTAAACTTTCATTAAAGATGAAATTTTTTTCTAATTATTATATTTGATCAATTTTGCATTGTTAATGCTATACTGAAAAAATATTAATGTTAAATGCTTCGGAATGAGCATAAAAAGATTTCCTAACAAAACTACATTTAGATAATAATAACTAAGTATTGCAATACCAACCTTGTTTAAAAAGATAATAAACATCTCCAAAAAATTATGGAGATACTCACGTCTTTGAGTTGACATAGTTATTGTGACTGGTAGGTAAGTATTTACCATAAATTACGACTAATTTGCCACATACAACCGACCAATATAATTTCATTTTATATAAGGTAAACAGGGGTGGCTCTCTTATTTCCCTTTACTTTGTAGAAGCCAAGGTGAGGGTCGTGTAGCGAAACCATAATTTCAAATTAAGGCGTACAGTTAGAGATTACGTGGAGTCACGGTGTTTAAATAGGTACCGTACCGTCTTGAGTTAAGACACGAAGGGGTATTATACAGGTTTAAGAAATAACAACCTCAAGGACTCATAAACGTTTCCAATGAAGCATCATTTTCTATCATTTGATCATTCTTCTTTCGTAACACCACATTTCTGTACTGTTTTAAATCAATGGGACTTAAGTTGAATGATTTATGAATGTAATTTTTAGGGTTCCCCACTTTTGACGGAAAGAAGGGACCTTATCACATCATTGCATGACTATCGAGATTATTACCAGGACCTTATCACATCATTGCATGACGTGTGGAGGAATCAAGTTGAAATAATTATCAAACACGTACTCGTTTTTGAAATCAGAAATCCTGAATTACATACCGAGAAAAATAATTCTTATTAATTTATTTGCCGTTGGTAAACGACCTATGTCGATATATGGAGCTTTAAGATTATCTTTACTTTAGAGCATTGATTGTTACATGCTTTCGTAAATCTACAGTTTTAGTCATATTAAATAGTACCTCTGTACGCAAGTCCAACTAGCGCTTGGTCAGTTTTTTACAACAACACCGTGATTATCAGTATCAGTATTATATGGTAGAGAATCGATTTAGGGTTAGTGTTATCAATCGCAAAATACAAAAACGCCAAAAGTTGGAAATGCCTGGTAAATCAATTAAAAATCGGGACGCGGAAATACTATAATTTAATTCACTAAGTTGTTTGCTAACTTTGTTTTAATCAAGTACGTATCATATGGCAATGACTTTTATGTTGATGCTGATATGTGAAAACTTCAAATTATAATAGTAATAATTCAACTACATAGTCGGAAGACCCCTCTAATTAAATTTTAAGTCCAAAGTTCTACTTCGTTTAAAATTTGAATTCCCATTTCATCGTTTATAGGTACGTAACCCTGGCATTTTGTGGTTTATAGGTGCCTATCACTAGGGTACATATTTGACAGTAAAACAGAATTACATTTACTTCTGAGCTGGCCATAAAACCAAAATGCAAAACTCTAATTTTCTATCCGAATACCGCCTTCAGCGCTTATATGACTGCCACTTACTTTCTCCCATTGATTGGTACACATTCCTTGGAAGTATAATTACTATTGCATATAACCATTGACCTATTTTGCTTGTTAGGAAGGCGTATAAAATTAACGTTTAGCTTTAGGCCAGTCGGGGATTACTCCAAATTATTGCTCAGTAACACTTTTGGCTTAGAAAGTTAGATTAGCTGAAAGTTTGTCGTGACTGTAATATGTTATCATTTGTGACGAGACGAGGTCGGAGTTTGGATATCATACGTGAAGTATGAAATTCGACAATGTTATAATATCATAATCTTTATTAGCTTTTCTTTTTATTTCATTTGTTTATCGTAGCTATCAAACGTTTTATTATTAAAAAGTTAATATTAAATATTTAAATACTGACAAAGAATTTAATCTAAATAAATAATTATGTAGGCATATTTTAAGGTAACAAGTGTGACAAATCGCGTTATGCAAATCAAATGTTGGTCAAAATCAGGTCAGACTCGATTACGCTCTCATCGGAATGGCGAATTCAAAACTAGACTTATAACGATTTAATGATAAATTAACAAATGAAGATCAGGTGTTGCTGCGGTTGCAGTGTCATCTGTCACTACTTAAAATTTGCATATTACCATTAGAATGCAATAATATAAAATGCTTACATAATATTATCATTCTGAAATATTCCCATCAATTACATTTTTTATAAATACAGTATCAGACGAAGATGATAACTTTTAATTTAAACTTTTAAAATGTGTTTTTTATTGTTACAGGTAAGCAACATGAATTTAGACTGGTGAATTAAATATGCAATTTACGTAGTACATACTTACTGCAGTAACAACATACACCAATTGCGTCTAAGTGATTGTTAGTCTTTTTATTGTTGTTTTTCATAAGCGAAGTATGACCCAAACAATTGTTACCGCTAAATTCTCATGCTTGCCTACTTTTGAACGGGGTTTCATGTTGAGTTAATTACGGGCCTAACTGGACGGTGACCCCTGTCGATTTGACCTTTTACGAGGAGAGCTGAGTGTGTATATTTAAGTCCTTTGCGTTCCATTAAATGGAAGGTGTTTGCCCTTTGGCAAGAAAGAAAACATACAAAAGGTTTCCTCTTGGCAGCACTAAGCTGGTATTAAAGCAAGCATGTAAGCGTTATGATCATTATTCTTTAGGGTAATATTCTCTGTTTATTTAAGAATGTCTGGCTTGAAATAAGATTAGCTGACAATGATGGATTCGCAATACTAAACATAAATAAAGCCTACGCCGTCGTAATACCAAAATTGTTTATGTTAAATAAATAATATACAATTTGTTTATTCGTATGACAAATTGATGAATATGGATGTTGACCTAATTAGAACTTTTTGGATCTATTTAAATATAAAAAGATTGATTCCAAGAACTTCTTTACTACTTTCTAGTTTATAAAAATATATTATGGCATTAATACTCGAACGACTTTCTTTTTTATAATCTTGAACCTGCGCTACGGAAAACATACTGTTGTCTTCCGTAACTGATGCGACATGCAAATTTATTTACGTCATAAGTGTTTCACCAATGGTATCGCAATGATTTTAATTAGCGTTTGGGAAACAAAAAAGCTCAAACGTTTTCGATTTACCCCTTGACTTACAGGTGTTGTGTTAGCACAGTGACCCCGTTTTGATCGCGACGGGACGTCCCCACACCCCGCTAAATTACCAATAATCTCACCATCTAGTTTCTAAATTAGGAAGCTGTGAGATCTCGATAAGGAGTTGAATAGGGGCACGCCTTGCGTTGTAATATACTCGAAATAAACATGCCGCTTTATACAAGAAACTACGCAGGCTAAGGATTTGGAAAGTTTTATTGAAATAATTTTGATTTATTTTTGATTCTTTACATTTTTTTTTCTAGAAGTAATATATTAATGGATAAACTAATTTTTTTTGTAAAAAATACTAGTTTCGTAAACATATTAGCTTGCATTCTAATTCTGGAAATTTTGGAAGTGCTGCATTATTATATACTTTATAGTTTTTTGCCAATCTATGTTTTACATCTAGTATGTTTGGTAATTTTTTTGGAAAAATAAATGTTTCGCTTGGAACTATAAAGTCATGTTATTTGTATGCATCGGGGATCAAATGAGGAGCTGTGTAGTATCAATAAAATTTGCAGATTACTTATGTTGACAAATGGCGTCCCTACATATATATGGAATATAATAATGCATTAAACTAGGTGTGAAAATAAATGGAAATAAATAGAAAAAATTAGAGTTAATAGAAAACCAAAATCTATTTAGACAGCCGGATTGTTTTTGAACAATAGATAATTATTTTTTACGCTGTTTTATAATTACTCATTTAATAATAGCCATGCTAGACTAACTTATTGATGGAATTTACTATATAGCTAATTGTGGAGTTTAAATCTTTCAGGTTATGTTTAATTTGAACTATAGGTTACAATCTACCGATACAATTATTTTATTTGATTTATCTGATAAAGAAAAATATCTTATCGATTTTAATAATAAATAACTGCATGATTATACTTAATTAGCATGCGCAGTAATATAATGTTTAAGGGCAAATGCAAATGCATCGCGGCTACAGCCCGTTCGTTTATTTGGCTTGTAATGCGCATACGCACGCGCTCTGCATCTCCGCGCCTAAACGGCCAATCATCCATCGCTTCATTTTAGTCGCCGTTCGACCTTCGTCAAGTGTGGTTGTGTCGCCAGTCGCAATGTAAACCATTCGCGCGTTCGAACATTCAATACGACTGTTGACATAAAATGAATTTGTATTTTGTGGAAATGTGTCCGTTTTCTATAACGATTGTCGAGTGCTCAATGGATTTGTTTTGATAAATCGTAAAGTTGCAACGATAAATCATAGCTGGATGTTTAACATGGTGATTGTCAGCGTTTTTAATAGGTAAGTCATAGTATAACCTATTTAATGATTTAAAAGTTTTATCAATCCCAGCGAGGGTAGCTCAGTATTATGAAAAATATAATTTTAAGTGATTTGAAGTGACTGCGAGTAAAATTATATTGCATGTATGATGCATGATTGTGTGTATTGTGTACGTCCGTTTGTTGCTGTGCATCTATTTGTTTCAACATAACATTCAATGGCAATAATGTCATTCATATAATATTATAGTTATTTATTATGTGACTAAATAATAGCTCTAAACTAACAATTGACCAGATGAACATATTTTATTATTCACTAGGATTATTTTCATTTTTCATTATAGATTTCCTATCCAGAAAGGGAAAATTTTACCTAGATAAAGATAAAATATTTAAATTTACACAATTTAGCCATTTCTTATCTTGCATTTAATAGATTTAAATTGCTCATTTACACCGAGGTGAATATTAAATACTTTCTCATAGAAAGAAAGAAAAAGAAAAGTCGTTTATTGTCGAAACCACAGAACATATACAACAACATTAAATATGGGTGAATATAAAAAGCAAATCATCTACAGATTTTTAATACGATTAATTTCAATTTTATGATGTTACTATGATTGATCTTATAATAACCAATATATATAATATAGAAATCACCAGTCAGAGATGACCAATACGAAATAAACCGAACATGAGATAGGATAACCTAATGGGAGATAAACCATTTAGTTTCGAAAAAGCACAATGTTAGCTACAATCTGATGGCCATAATGATTCAAATTTCATAGTGATAACATGTAATAAAATATAGCATATGGGCTGCCACAAAAATGTCCAGAAGTCTTAGCATTTGATTTTAAGTTTAAGTAAATTCTTTAAAAAACAGAACATAGGCAATAAAAATATTGATACTGTTAGGGGTTTTCCAGTGAAGCAGTTTCAATATATTATTTTTCACATGAAATTCATCTGTTGAATAATTGTGAAATTCGGCAACGCCTTATCTACATACACCATATTATGTCGGCAACATATTAATTTAACTATCATTGTAGAGACCATATTTTGTTGTTATCGATTTCTATGTCATAAGTAATCAAGTGATTCCCCTTCGTTCCCAGGCGTCAATTGGACACGGTAGCTTAGTAGTCATATTGACGAATCGTATAAACCTGCCATAATTTCCACTCAAAGTCATACATCCGTCACATTCTTCCTCAAATGTTGACTATCACCCGTCACACTTTGACGCGCCGAATACTGTTTCTCCAATTTTCGACTTGTAATACTCCTTTTTTTACTGCCTTCTTTTTCCTATTCACCGGAGTAATTTAGATTATGAATAAATCATCATTACCGTTTTCGTCAAACAAATTGCCAGTGTTTTGCTGCTATTTTTAAAGTTTGAATTTGATTGACGGAATACGTTGCGGATTACACACGCGAAATGGAAACTGCTTGATCTTTGAATATGCATGCGTGTGCATAACACTGCCTGCGCACTTCCATGAATAAATGAATACTCCCTGTGGTTTTTGCTGGGGCTTCTTAAGTACTAAATATCCGGAAAAATACTGAATGTGTAAATAACAGACGGAGATTAATTTTATGGAACTTTTTTGAATTTGTACTGACAAAGTAAATTTACAGGCGTATTTTAAATACACAGTCTCAGCTTGATTACAAGAAAATTAAAATTAAACACTACGTACAGTTATAACCTAAAATTAAATAGTTACATAGTATTAATATTGTTAAAGCATAAATTACAAAAGTTCGTGAGGATGTATGTATGTTTGTTCCTGTTTAACGCCTAAACCACTTAATGGATTTTGATGACATTTAGTAATTATACGGATACTTCTAAGCCCGAATTAACATATAGGTCACTTTTTATGCCACTAACTAGTTCCCTGTGGTTGTTCGCGGAAAGCTAATTTCTTAATATTTATAAACAAGATATGGTAAAACTAAAAAGACACTAAATTTTTCGATGTCGTTTCCCTTTTCTGGCTGTTTTCTATTTCTTATTGCAAAATATTTAATCAAGGTTATGTCTATGTTGCACTGGAAAATACGAAACAATCTTGTAATTAAAATGGACAGCAATTTCAATTTACCTTGTCATCGCGTGATCTACAACAGCTAAAGTATTTTGTTTAAAAACAATAATTATAGCATGTTTAAAATATCGAGACGAACCTTAAATTTGAATATCGATCATAATAAATTACGTGGCAACAATAAAACAAAACTCCAGTAAAACTCAATCAGTACGCAATTATAGCTCTCAGGTAAATTGGTCATAAATTATTTTTCTGATGGCAGCCAGTAATACAGAAAGTGCTAGTGCAATTTTTATTTTAACCATCTCTAAGCCCTTATACCGCTGTCCATTCCGAAGTTCGCGAGTAGGACGCCTTGCTGCAATGAATCACGTACTATCCTCGCCCACGGGCATATTTACCTCTCAAAGCGTCCATTCCTCATCAAACAGCTTAACAGTCAAAGAAACATCAGCTTTGATCGTTAAGACATAAGACTCAAGATGATCCTATAAATTGTATGCCCCGAGGTCATTCACTGCACCTACCGTGATTTTAGTAGTTTTTACAACATTCAATTCAGTAGTTTAAGGATAAACCCTTTCAGAAAACCTATTTCAAGTGCTATTATTTTTAAAACCAAGCACCAATATGAAGATATTTTAGTACGATTTTGTTGAATATGGTTTAAAATTGAAAATTTTGCATTTATCTTTGGTTAATCATCCAATAAAGATTCATGTATAAATTTATGCCGAAACATATTATGAACACTTTGTATGTTGAAATTATTAGAAGAAATTAAAATCATTAGAAATAAACAGATATAAAATATCTATCACCACTTACGTACTAAAAGCCCGTCAATTGGGTCACAATTGGGTCCTAATGAGCAGCGTTTCATTCCGGGACATGTCTCAGAGGACTTGCTCCCACACCTCACTTGAAAGTTAACTTCGTCCCACTTTGTTCGTCTAATTAACATAATGTATAGCTTATCTACGATGGACAATCGCGATCATAGTTTAGTCCTGTTACTTATAAAGGGATAGTGAATATTTTGTAAACTGACGATAGAAATTCAGAAAATAAGGAAATAATTAACATACTATAACACACAAGAAAGCAGGTGATAAAACAGTATTTTTTAAAAATTCTTTTATGAAAGGCACCTTTTTATAATTAGAATTAATAAGTTATTATCGATAACTCTAATGATTTAAAATATAATACTGCAAGCAAATATAAAGATAGACTTTGCCTAACATGAGATGATCTCATTGATCGAATTCAGCAATTATTTTGATCTTTCTTTGTCTGTTACTTTCAACTTTCTTCCAATCAATTCATGCTAATTTTTCACTCTAATTATAATGGTTTTTTAATAACTTGAAACACAATGGAGTGAAAATAAACATTGAAAGATCACGCAAAAAGTCATTTGTCTCTACTTTCTGAGGATTTGCATATAGTTCAATAAACTGCTTTGATGTCAATGCGTCGTCGCTACCAACAGTAACCGTGATGTTAGAAACTAACATACAACCGCAAGATTACTTACATGTATCACTTTTAAAAATTACCTACAAAACCGATCCTCACATTGAGTTTGTAGATGCACTTTTAAGTGATTTTTGTAGAAAATCAGTGGAAAACACAATCAGAATTATATTGTATATATATTTTTATATGCCTATGCTCAGCAATGGGTGTCGTACGGCTGTTGACGATACTTTTTGTGGTTATGTGGGACCCTTTTTCATGACGCAATCACCACCGGTAAATGTCAGTATCAATTAATTTTTAAGATCTCTTGGTAATGAGGTTTGGCTTGCCTAATTGTCCATATGATGTGAAGCGAATCATGCGAAGTTATCTAGTGTATATTTATGAGCAGTTGATTTCGTGTCAACGAATGCGGGTGTCCATTTGCGATGTAATTGTAGTATATTTGACTGCACGTGGTCGTACTTTGAGTAATGTTTATATGTTATCTTTATCATATTCAACATTTAGGTCAGTTTGATCAGTATGAGAAAGTATCGTAGTCTTTGTTTTATAATGATGTTTGGTTTCCTGTTATTTATTTTTTATTGTGAATTAACGTATTTTTGTTTTATAAAAGTTTTGGTCCTTTTTAATTTTGCATGTTTACGTTCAAATTGAGTACGGATTTTTAAGACTAAACTTTAATGCTTATAATATAAAACACTGGCGTGGAAAACGGATGTTTTTGCAAGGCTTTCGAAAACAATTTACCATCACCGGTCTTTTAATGTCCTGCTTAATGTAATGCTGCGGCACAGTACCTTCCCTATAGATGCATTCGAACTAAATAGTGAGAATTAGTTATTGCCACCCACTCGGTCCGAGTGTAGATTGGTGGGTGTTGAAGGTTGTAGATGCCGCCTGCATCAACGGCTTGACTTAATTACCGAAGTATCCCTACTACGGGTGGAAGGAGCTCGAAATTATTTTTTGGTCAGCCATTCTATGATAGACCATTGCGGAAGTTGCCTAACTTCAGCATTGTAAGTCTTCAATCTACTCATGTAAAAGTCGATTAAAAATATGTATTAGTCGATAATTCATCGTGAAGATGTAGTGTATTTGTCTAACAATAAAACGCCATTATGCTTTGAAATTAAAAGTAAGCATTCATTTCATTTGTTACGCTTTATCACTCACATCCATTAGTTCAATTCACCTTCTTCAGTAGTTTCACTTTTATTATTTTGTTGTTTATAATTAGAATTCAATTTAAGACTTTCTCAAAAATATTATTTCTATTACAATTATATAGGTAACCAATAAAAATATTCGACAACATCATATACATTATTAAAGATTAATAGCTAAAGCCCAAATATTGTGGCGTATCTGAGACAAAGAAAGGTACAATAACACCCGGACCCGAGATTTTAAAGAAAAGTCAATTTTTTATGTTGACCCAACCCGGGACCTT